AACCCATCAGCTGCTCCACAGTAGGATAAAACTTGTCCCAGAACCCATAATCAGTTCTACCCTATGCTACACAGGATCAGAGTCAGAATCGATTTAATAGCAGTAGGTGGGTACTCTGGTAGCGTAGTGGTTACGACTCGGGCTGTGAACCGCAAGGTCAGCAGTTCGAAACTACCAGCTGCTCCGCGGGAGAAAGATGAGGCTTTCTACTCCCGTAAAGATTTACACCCTCGGAAACCCTGTACAGGGTCGCTATGGGTCGGTTCCGACTCCACGGCACATAACAACAACAACAACAACAGGTGGGTACTACGTACAAAAGCCCTGGTGGCACAGTGGTTAAGCGCTTAGCTGCTAACCAAAAGGTTGACAGTTCAAACCTACCAGTCACTCTACGGGAGAAAGTTAGTTTGCTCCCTTAAAGACTATAACCTTGGAAACCCTATGGGGCAGTTCTACTCTTTTATATCGTAACTATGAAGCATAATGGCTAGGAGTCCTGGTATGGCGCTGTAGGATAAGCACTGGACTGACTGCTAATGGCACAATCGGTAGTTCAAAACCACCAGTTGCTCCTCAGAAACTACACAGGTGGCCAAGAGTCAGATCCAACTGGCTGGATGGCACTTAAGAGCAACAAGTGTTTACAAATAACTGAAGTATGTAACTATCCCATAGTAGTACAAAGGGTTAACTTGCTAGGCTGCTAACTAAAGGCTAGTAAAGTGTCTCTGAAAGAAAAGCCTGGCAACGTACGTTTGGAAAACCAGTCATTGAAAACCCTGTGGACTACACTTCTACTTTAACACATACGGGCCCTCCACGGGTCCGAGCTGACTTAAATGGTGACTGGCTGTTTCTTGCTAGGTGTCGTCAAGTCAGTTCTGGCTCATAGCTGCCCTACATATGGTTTTAGAGGTGCAGTTGGTGGGTTTGAGTCCAGCGCACCACACCAGGATTCCAATTGCAACTGGAATTTAGTCAAAATGCAGCTCAGTATCTAGTTAAGTACTTAACTAAGACTAAAGAGAATCAAGCTCCTAAACTCTCCCTCAAGATCAATACGTGTCAGTAAACTATCTGGTCAAACATTTTATGTATCTGCAAAACAAAACAAAAAAACCAGCCATAGGCAACACAATTTACCAACAAAATGGCTTTTGGGAATACCTGTGAGGAAAACAAGCTTGTTAGAGACCTGATATTGAAAAAGGTGTTTCCTAAGCAGATACTGGAGTCCTGATGTGGCACTGTAGGATAAGCATTGGACTGTTACCAACAGGTCACTGGTTCAAACGCACCAGCTGTTCCTCGGAAACCCTGTATAGGGTCACTGTATGTTGGAACCGACTCAACAGTCCTTAACAACAAGCAGGTATTAGTACACCAACTGCTGTTCAACAATGAGGTAGCTGAAACTGAAAATGTGATTATATAATACTTCTATGCAGCACTCCTTTTTCTTTGGCCCACTGTAATATAGGGGAGGAATGTGACATGTTAAACTTAAACACAGAAAGGAAGAAAAGGAACAGTTTGGTTAGGCTAAGGAGGCAGTTATTATTTTTCACAATGAAAACAATTTGATTTCTGCCAAATATAATTATATAATCTTGGCATTTTCATTGAATTTTTAAATTTCTAGATAAGTCCTTACATTACAGACCATCTGGTCCTACCCTCTCATCTTACAGAGAGGAAAACCAAAATTTAAGCTCAAGATCATGCAGTTATGTAACAACAAAACTAGGACTTCTGGTTCACCTGTGAAGTCTTTGATCTCTGCACATATACGAGGGGACTTGCAGAAGTTTGTGGGAAAATGGAACTAAAAAAAAAAACCTGGAATTTTTCCACAAACTGTTTGAAGCTCCCGGATATAACAATTTTTCAAAGTTAAGATATAGAAAAAAACATAAAAGAATGAATTGCTGCCTACAACCTAAAACACACATATTATTTTAAATTCACCTATTCTGCACAAACTATACATGTGTCTCTGATGTAACTTAAAGAGTTTGTACCCACTGAAACTGGCAGAGGAAGATGAAACTAGTTAAGGGTGAAACAGTAAGCTAGCTGAGATAATGTAATCAATAGAAAAAACCCACAAGATTGAAAAACTGGGGAAGTGAACTGCTTCCAACGAGTTCTCATGCTGCAGAGAGAAGAGAGGTTAAAGCAGCAGCTAAGGACAGGAGCAGTGTAAAAGTGCTGGAATGCATGTTATATAAGCCAGCTGACTGGAGAGATCAGAATTCTTGAGGCATAAGGTAGTGGAATCTGCATTTTTCAACTAGAATCCCAGATGATACCAAAGCAGCTGGCCCTCAAGCTCACAACTGAGGAATATTCACTGAGACATACAATATTAAGGACTAGAAGAGGGCTTAAGGGAATTTAAAAATTCTGAATCATTTAAAAATTCTGAACCAAGCAGGCAAAGGAAGCACTCCAGACAAAACGCAATAAAGCTGCTTCTGCAGCAACCCCAAGCAAGTCAGACTAGGTGCTTACCCTTCCTTCACCAGGGTGTCAGAAACTAGGCGCTTAACCTTCACCAGGGAGTGATTATGTAATCACTGCCCGGGCTCAAAGATGAAGAGATCAATTCTTTCACAAATGTCTGTCATTAAGGAAGGTTTTCATTTACCTGTTAAGTGACTGGCTGATTATTAGGATTCTACTTTTAATGTAGGAGCTCTTTTAATAAAGGAGCTCTGGTAGGGCAGCGGTTACGAATTGGGCTGCGAAACTCAAGCGCAGCAGTTCGAAACTACCAGCTGTTTCGTGGAGAAAGATGAGGCTTTCTGCCGCCTGTAAAGATTTACAGCCTCGGAAACCCTATACAGGGTGGCTATGAGTCGGAATCAACTCCATCGCACTTATTAACAACTTTTAACGTAGAGCAATATTTACTTATATAAGTCTTATAGAAGAACTTATAGAAGGAAAAAGAATTAGTCATTTTATATCTGTCAATTTATCTGTGACTGCTTGTCTCACAAAAGAAGACTTTGGACTTTGCTGCTTAGTCCCAGTATTTTTCTTTGGTTATGGGGATCTGAGAAAATAGAAATGGAAAACAAAGCAACTTTTCATGGCTGCTATTACCACAAACTCTGAAGATAGTAAGTTTCTGAGAAATTCCTGAAAACAAGGTTATGGTTTCAGAAATATTAGATCTTAAATCAGATTTTAAATGATCAGATGAATTCATTTTGATTTTTGTCCAAAGATTTTCAAATCTTCATTACAGCAAAACAGATAAAAATGTTCTGAAGCAAAAAATAAAAACAATGCTTTCTTCCCCTCCCTCTTTTTGAGACAAGAGAAGTTATATTTGTTCAGTGAATTTAAAATATAGCTTTGAATTGTTGTGACTAAAGCACTTGATTATCAATCTATTTTAGGTACAATGATTGATAAACAGAGCCAAAGTATGAAACTATTCTGTCTCACAGTGACCCTACAGGATGTCCAAGGCTGTAATCTTTACAGAGGCAGACTGCCACATCCACATTTTTCTCCTGTGGAGAGGCTGCTGGGTTGGAACCGCTGACCTTTAGGTTGGCAGCTGAGAGCTATCACCGCAGCACCAGCAGGCCATCTTAATAAACAGAGAGGTAAGAGAATTTATTATTAGAATTATTGTCTGTGCTTTCCAAACATTTTCTTTTTAAGACCAACTATTTGCAATGTATTCTAGAAAATACTGATACCCAAACCTTTTAATCCGTTAAAGGAATCAGCTCACTGTTTCTACTTCAAGGCAAATCTTTAATTTAAAGATTAACCCGATGTTTGTATTTTGAACTAGAGCATTTCCGGGCAGTGGCATCCAGATTAATAGTACAATCTCAAATTTTTTCTTTCAATAGCTGATTTTTCATTTCCATTAGACCAAAATATAGTAAGTAAAGCTTAGTATTTATACCTGGCGCGCAAATTCTTGGGAAGTAAGTTCACCCTACGCCTTGAAAAACACTAACAAAAAGTAAGCCAAGCCAAGATTACTACAGTCAACTTTTCCAGGAGCACATTTCTGCAGCCTAAAGATCTGCTACGGAATTTTCCTTATTAACTTCTGGGACAATTGCAATCATATTTAAGATACATATATTACTGTAAGCCACGAGAAGTACAACAATAACCGTTCTACTCATTGTTCTTAAGGCTTAAAGGGGCGGTTTCCTAAAATAAAAGAAAATTTTTTACTGGGTGTGGGGGTAAATTTCTCAGGCAAAGAAAGTTTCACTTAGCGAAGAGTTCTCAAGGGATACTAATTGAAAAGCCAACTGTTGGTTTTTCACTGAGATCCACAAAGTAATTACTGATCTTTGCCCAGGAATATTTATGCTGTAATTGTAAAATTAACAGCCAGAACCTTGCTTTCTCCCCTTCCCTCCGGTTCCCTTTGCTCCCTTTACCCAGATCTCCACGGTCAGGTTCACCTACCAGTAACGCAGGGTCATTAAAAAAACAGGTAAGAAAGACGAACGCTTTTTAAAGGAAGGGTTACAGCTGTTGGACTTCGTCCAAGTTCTGCTCAGGCTAGAAAGGAAAGTAGGAAACGGAGGCTTAGGCTTGCAATGATGTCAGCCATTTTAGGCACATAATTTATACAGGAATGGAAGTGCCAAACTCGGTGGTTGTTTTGCACGTCGCTGCTGGTCTCCAGGTCGAGCCACGTCCCGGTCCCACACACCTTCTCTTGGCTGCACAAACGACAGTGAACTCGGCACAATTCTTCCACTTTCCTCTCCCGGCCTCCCAAGTCCCGAGGCCCTGCGCCGAGCACGCACTTCCTTACAAAGAAAGAAGCTGCGGCCGGAGGAAAAGGCGAGCGCGGGGACCCTCTCCTCGAGGCTCTTGCGCCCCGCCAGCGCGACCTCTGCGCGCACTCGCCAGCTCACCACCCCGCGCTGCACTCCCCGACGGGGCCAAGGCCCCCAGACCCGCGTCTACCCGCGCCCTGCCCGGACCCCTAGCCCTCGGACCTTGCAGTCCACCGCGACGGCGTCGGGGGGTATGATGAGCGCCTCCTCGCCGCTCTTGGACTCGTCCTTCTTGGCCTCTTTCTGGGCCAGAGCCGAGTTGAACGTCACCTTCACCATGGCGAGATCTGTGGCGCCCTCGGAGGGCGGTAGGGGGCTCGAGGTGTGGGCTGCGGGGTCCCGGCTGCGTTTGCAGCCTCCTCGGCCGGGCTACGGGCGCGGCTTTACAGTGGCTGCGGAGGAAGCGGCAGTTCGGACGGCAGCTGAAGCAGCGACTGCGGCACAGCCCCCGTGGCCTCCCAGCTCGGGCGCTCGGGCGGGGCGGCTCGGGCACCCACAGGGGCGGGGCGGGGGCGGGGCTGCGCAGGGGCCTGCTCTCGCCCACAGGCGGGGCGCCCAGTCCTGCCTGGGAAAGAGAGAACGCAGCCCTGGGCCGCCTGGATTTTCCAGTTCTGAATTTGCTTCCTTCCAATTTACCTCCAGGCCTAGGGTTGCAGGTTAGTAGCAAAATCGGGTGAACTTTGCTGGATTCGCCACATCAAATCAGTGAACTTCTGGTAGCACCAGGCATGGCCTTCCCTGATCCTGTCAGAGATATTAGTACATCCCCACATCCAGAGCCTTGGTTCTTTGGACCCGATTTAATGGTGCACAGAAATGTTTGAAACGCTGTATCCATGTCATCTAACTTCTTTATCTTCCACGGACCTCACCCAAGGGTGTTACCCCTTCCCTCAGGAGGTCAATGCAAGGAGGGCAAGCCCTGCCTGATCCCAGAACAGCTCAGAGGAAGCCTCTGAATTGATTTGGATGTCAAGTGTCTCACATTTTTAAAACATACCACTCTTGTGCTAGCTTGAACAAAACCTACATGCACAACCAGGCTTTGTGATTCAAGGCTATGTTTTTGGTGATGATTCATTATTTGTTTTCTGCAATGAAAAAAAAAATCATTTAAGGATAAGGCAAAAGTTACCATGATTTGAAGGGGTTTCATTTACAACTGGACTCCTGGTATAGCATTGTAGGGTAAGTACTGAACTGTTTACGACAAGGTCTTCGGTTCAAACCCACTTGCTGCTCTTCGTTATGAGTCAGAACCAACTCCACAGCACATAACAATGTACAACAAATGCAAGAGAGGACACTGACCTGTATTGACACTGGGTTTATGACTTTGGGTAAATGGTTGATCTTGTTCCTGCCTCCCACTCCACTCTCCATATTTAACCAGACATGGGTGTACTCTTGAATGTACCACTTTGTGTCAGCTTTGTCTGTGTCAATGCTGAAAAAATTAGGTTGAGTCTGAGATCCTTAAGGATTAGCCCTGCTCAACGTAGGGCTATGGTGTTCCTAGAATTCCAGTTCAAAGTGGTGTCTTGGTTTCTCCATAGAATGCCGTATCCAAAAAACTCTGGGAAACAGCCCAAGATCTCAGAATCTTTTAGATTAAGGAATGACCCCAAATCATATGCTTTTCAAGGATCATGCTGAGCTGAGATAGAAACTCAGTCCAGATCTCAAGTCAGCATGTTGTGGTTAAGTGCCATGGAGTCAGTGCGGACTCATAATGACCCCGTATAGGATTTACAAGGTGCAGCTGGTAAATTTGAACCACCAACATTGCAATCCGGTGCTTTATCCAACAGAGCTATTCTAAAATTTCACTCAATTGAGCATGGGAAGAGTTGGACACTAACTAGTCATATGACTTGAAACAACGTATTTAAGCTCTCTGGACCTCTTTTGTCCTGGGAGATATGCAGTTGGGTTGACTGTTAATTGATATTTGATAGTAAAAATGTAATCTCATTCCTCCCAGTTAATACTTCTCCAGACTCCTAGTTTCAAAGATTTCTGAGGAATTCCGGAAACCACAGTTTATACATAAATGTACATATATGTTGTTGTTAGGAGCGTGGTGGTTCCATACAATAAGCACTGGACTTTGAACCACAAGATCCATGGTTTGAACCCACCAGCTGCTCTATGAAAGAAAAGATGAAGCTTTTTGCTCCTGTGAAGATTTAAAGCAGGGGTGGGGTAACTTTTTTTCTGCCAAAAGTTATAACATCTTTCATTGGCCATATAAAATTATCAACTTAAAAAATAACTTGCTATTTTTGGACAAACTTTTAATTAATGCACCCCTTACAAAACGGGCTGTGAACCACAAAGTCAGCAGTTCAAAACTACCAGCTGTTGTGTGGGAGAAAGATGAGGCTTTCTGCTCCTGTAAAGATTTACAGCCTCGGAAACCCTGTACAGGGTCGCTGAGTCGGAACCGACTTCATGGCACATAACCACCAATGTGATGGTTGGAGTCCTGGTGTGGCACTGCGGATTAATATGCTGGACTATAAAGTCTAAACCATAAAGTCGAGGGTTCAAGCTCACCAGCTGCTCCTTGGAAACCCTATAGAAGGTCACTGTGGGTTGGAACTGATTCGACGGCACTTAACAACAACAACAACGTGATGGGTGGAACTGTGGTTGCCTTTACATGGCCAGACTAAATGATATCATGGGCCTTATACAGTTCATGGGCTGGACATCCCCCAACCTTAATTTAAAAGCCTTGGAAATTCTATAAAGGTCGCTATGAGTCGGTACCGAGTCAATAGCACTTAACAACAACAACATGTTAGAGACCACAGAACAAAACATTGTGTGGGTCTGTACCACCCTCACAATTGTTACGCTTGAGCCCATTGCTGCTGCCAACTTGTTGGGGGTTTTCTTCTGTTTTGCTGATCTTCCATTTTTCCAAGCATGATGTCTTTCTCTAGGGACTGGTCTCTCATGATAATATGTCCTAAACATGTGAGATGAAGCCTTGCCAGTCTCGCTCCTAAGAAGCATTCTGCAGTAATTCTTCTAACACAGATTTGTTTGTTTTTCTGACAGTCATGGTACTTTTAATATTCTTCTCTGACTTCATGACTCAAATGTGTTGTTACACAGTCTTCCTTATTCGTTGGACAACTTTCACATGCATATGTTGTTATGTGCCGTGGAGTCGGTTCCGTCTCATAGCGACCCTGCATAAGATATCTGAGGCTGTAAATCTTTACGGTAGCAGAAAGCCTCATCTTTCTCCCAAGGAGCAGCTGGTAGTTTCAAACTGCTGTCCATGAGAATAGCAATCCGATTTGTAACCACTATGCTACCAAAGCTCCTTACACTCATAAGAGGCTATTGAAAATACCATGGTTTGGGTCAGGCGCACCTTAGTCCTCAAACACATGTCTTTGCTCTTGAACTCTTTGACGAGGTCGTGTGTAGCAGATTTGCCTACTACAGTACTACTACAAAAATCAAAAGTCATTTGATTTCTTGACTGCTGCTTCTTCAGTTCTCCCAGCTTGAGAAATGCTGAGCGTGTTCTT